CTGCAGCCGGCGGCCCCCCCGCGCCACCTCCCTCCGCCCCGCTCCGTCCCCTAACTAGAACAGCACTAACAACAAAAGCGAAATAGTCTAATGGCCTGCTAAAACATCTGGGAGTCGAACACCAGAGGACCCAGCTACCTGCAGCTTCTAAAACAAGTTGAAGGTACTTGGTACAACTGCAGCTCGGATTACTCTTCCCGGCTGCCCGCACGGCAGAACTGTGCTTTTTGAATAAGGAATCACAGAAGGGGACTTTTTCACCAGGAAACACATACGAGGGCATTATTCACAGCAGCCGGCAAGATCTGGTGAAATCTACTCCTTAGGGAAAAGCAGGATACCCTCAAGCATCCAAAGCACCCCGAGCTCCCCTGGAAACGTTTCCAATACACCTGCAAACGCCAGCCCAGGATGCCTGACGGCTGAGGGCCCTCGACACGTCCTCCGACGCTCCTCCATTACGCTGAAAAGCCTCCTCTGACCCTGACCCTTGTCGGGCCAAGAAAGCTGCACAGACCTGGGGGTCGAAGGCTCTGCGCAGCACGACAAGAGCTCTTCTGCAGCACTTTCTACCACGGTAACCCAGAAATAAGAGAAACACTGTTCAGAGTCAGTAACCAAAGGCGTAACAAGATTTAAAGCAATTTAAAAAATCGTTAGAAACCATAAATAATAAGAAGCCATACTAAAGACACCAAATGTCAAAGCTCCTGTGTTCTGCATTTTGTTTTTTCACACTCGAATCAGCTACATTTCGCACCTTTGTCATCAGTTGAGAGGTTTTATGTCAACTTCGGTAAAATATAGCTGAGATGACGACACCATCGCTATGAAATATATCTGCTTTCTCTTGTTCGTTGGCAGCAACTTTTGCTCCGCCAGGATTTCATCTGTGCGTAGAGCTACGTGCGTGACAGCTCTGTTTGCACGCGCAGAGGACGTCACTCAGCAGCAGCACTACGTGAAAGCAGCTTAGCGCATTAAAGGTCTTGGTCTCTCAAGTCCGTACGCGCAGTGAAGCAAGCGCAACAAGGTGATTACGTCCTGTGCCAGGACGTACAACCAGGCTAATGCAGGGGTTCAGCTCCCAGAGGGCTCTGACGGACAAACTGATGCAGGGGGAGCCTTGCCCCGTTGGGCGTCACCACCCCTCCGGTGGTCAGGACAGCACGTGTGCCTGCACCCCTGGCGCTGATGCACAGCCCAGCATCCCAACAGCACCCTGCCTCTGCCCGGCTCGGAGCGAGACCACGCGCTGCAGGAGAAGCAGCGTGGCCAGGTCCAGGTCCTGGTCGGCGGTCCTCTGGTGGCCACCCTGATCCCCCTGGCCCCGGGGCACAAGCCACGAGCCCAGGCCACGGCTACCCAGCGACCCCGGCTCGGCTGACGGATGTCAGTAGCCACCTTGATCCCGCTGGAGCAGCACAGCATCATAACAAGGATATATTAGTTCAGACTGCATTCTCCTTCCGGGGTACGTCTTGGTACCTGATCTTCTCGTTTGTGCTTGCTTTATGCCTCTTCTTTTTTCCCCTATATTTAAGTTACTTACGCTTTGAAACACAAAAACCTCCAGTCCTGCTGTGGCATTATTTATGCACCTGCTTTCTTGTTTACACCCATAGTTTTGGCAGCTGGTTGCTGTAAACTGTAATAAAATGCCTTTCAAAAAGTTTAAAAAAAAAAAAAAAGAAGAAATGTGACCAGACAAGCCAGGCATAATAATATTAAAGCCCGTGTCAATTAATTTTTCCTCTTCTTGATAAATGAGCCCCATTCCATTCATTAATAACGAGGGAAGAAACAAGAAAAGTTGACACTAGTTTAATTTATTTTCTCAACTTGCCTGGTCATATTTCTCCCTGTTGCAAAGCTTTCTGGTGCTGCTGGGAATTGCAAGTGGCTCCCACACAGTCGATGCATAGATTGGTGTGAATCAATACAGTTCTACTTTATTCACACATCCCTTGTAATCAGAAGGGAAAAAGTTACTTAGTAAGCTATCTAGCATCTGAGTCTGTCAAGTCACCTTATAATAATAGCAAACCTGCACGGGAGGGGCAGGAGGGGAACTCGGAAACCAGGTCTCGTAATTGCTGTCACCAAATCCTGTGTTTGTAGACAAACGGGCAGAACCGATGGACGGGCCAGGGCATTTTAACTGCTAGGACAGCAAATCAGGGAGGTTTCCCACTCCTTAATTCCTGTTAAGGTAATTCAAATCGTTATGCTGAGAGCCAGGAATAGGCACTCTGGGGTTTAATCCTGCCTCTGGGAACAGAGTTGTTTGTTCAAACACGAACCCAACAGTCAGGACTCCCAAAACTTAGCCCCAACTTTGCCACTTTCTTACTTTCTGTCTTTGGACAAGTTGCTTAAGTCTTTCTTGCGCTCCAGTTCCTGCTTTTCTTCTCCCACAGATTTCTATTACTGTCCAGCAAATCTGTTCCTATGACGCCTTCACCCGAGGTACTGGACCTTTCTCCATTAAAGCTATCAGAAGTGTTCAGATAAAAGCTGTCCATTCGGATTTGTTAGCTCCCGTTATTTCTCTTTCCTGTGCTACAAATACACAAAAAAGAGAGGCTTTTATTTCCGAAGAAGTCACTCTCCCTAGATTCACAGCCACCTGCACACACCACGGACCAGCCTGGGACCGGGTGGTTACTCCCCGGTGTTCCCAGGATTTCTGAAGCTCCAAGATCATCCCCACTGTCCATGACCGCCACAGCCCCACATCCTGGTGCAAGTGGCAACCTCACCCTAGGAGTTGCTCACGCTTCCGCCACCACGCACGTCGAGCTACTCGGCCAGGTGCACACCAGGCTTTCGATCACACACAACCTCGTGCAACCGCTTGCAAGGTGAACGCCTGCTCGCCTCTCCCTGCAGAAAGCCATACCCCAGCATCAGCTGAGGCTAGCATGCACGGCTGGGACAGAGAGAAGGACGATAATGAGGAGAGAGCTGGGAAGAGAAATCTGGTGACTTTGGTAGAAAAGATGAATCCGCTGTTATCTGCAACCTAATGGAAGCTGGAGCCTCCAACCAAGATCAAACCAATATCCATGGCAAAATGGCAGCTCTCAGTCACTGACGCTCCAAGACGAGATCCCTTCACGTCCTGACAAGCAGTAATGTCCATGCACCTCGCCTATCCATCAATCAATAGAGATAAATATGTAGTGAGAGACGCGCACGCTCCTCAAATTTTATCTCTAACACACACACACATCCACTTTCACCCCTCCTCCTCTGTCTCGAACGTAATCCCGGTATGGGGACGTATGCCTGGAATACTGATGATCATACTCCACGGCGCACCGTGCTCGGCCGAGAACAAAACCTCATCCCATGCTAGTGAGAGCCAGCCTGGGAGCAGGGTGACCGGAAGAGTTAGAAGGAGAAAGAGAAGGTTAACACCTCTGATCTAGGGTAGAAAATACCATCCTCATTTAAGCGTAAAGTGTGCTCTCTGGCAGCGCTTCTGTGAATGATGCTCATCAAGTCAGATGATTAGCCTGCAGATCCGTTTGGTGTTTACGTGCATCTTGGGTTGGGTAAGGAAAATAGTCAGGTTCCCATGACAGACATAGGCAGGTATTACTGCTGTTTAAAGTGTCAATATATACTCCATGACATGAGAGTAAATTCTCAAAATTAAATCAGCAGGCAACTGCCTTAGATCAAAACCTCCACACAAGGTGCTAGTGTTTCAATACTAGCGAGGCGGGAGAGCAAAGAGCTGAGGTCAGCCACGCAGCTGGATAAAGGGCACCAGCACGAGATTTCTGTGCTTTTCCTTGGCAAACTGCAAGGCGCAAGTTCCTCACTCTGTCCTCCCCACGGCTACGTGGCATTTGCAAAGGGAGCATCGGTCAAAGAAAGCCACCGGAGAAAGTGAAACCACAGCACCAGGTAGCAGTTCGCCTGTTTAAATATGGGCAAAATCAATTCAAACCGGTTTGGGGAGTTATTTTCTGTGAAGGAAGGACAAAGGGTATAGGGACTTGTCCTTCTCCCAGAGGACACATTCTGGCCACGGTGTCCAAGCTGGGGGAGCTGGAGGTGCCAGCTCGCTGAGGTGTAACGCCCTACTGACCACCTCATGGGGAAGCACGGTGCGAGGGCGGATGAGCACATCAATCCTTCCTCACAGCAAGCAAAGACCAAAAGCGAGCGTAGTGATCACAAGTCCTTACCAGCTTCTGTTCCGATCACTAGACAAACTCCTCTGCTTTCCGAAGACCTCTGAGAAACACAAACACCCTGGCAAACCTGGGCTGGCTTTGTGCTGTTTTCTCCCTATTCAACCAGCCCATGCGGAGGCAACGCGAAGCAAGCAAGGATGCCTGCTCCAGCCAAATTCCTCCCTGTCCCACGAGTTCATTGGGATCTGCTCCTGCAGCTAAGCAGTTTCCACTAAAATCTATTCATGGCACACGGTGTGAAAGGGGACACTTCATTTCATGTTACAGCCATGCTAATGTAAGTGGTACCTGAACTTTTCATAATAAATTTTTCATAACAACAAATCTTCATTAAAATTTTATTCTATTAACATTCTGAAATCAAACCAAAATGCTGAGTACATAATGACTAAAACGCACACCACACAGCAACTTAATAAATGCCAGTTTTATCATACTGTTAATTAGCAGAAACCATTAATTATTCACAGATCGCTCACAAGCATTAACGGTGACCTAAGAAAAACTGCATGTACGTGTGCTACACTCATGTTTGCGTTTTTCTGCTTCTGAATTTTCGACACAGGAAGTCTCAAAATTCTCTCCTGATTCAGTTTCTCTCTAGGTTGGAGGCAGCATGTTTAAATGGTCACCTTTTTGTCAGAGGCTTGAGAATTAATGCATCAGTCTGATATATGAGCTACTGAAAGAGGAAGATACCTCAGTCAGTGTTTGCTTTTTGGCCAGTATTTAACTCCGGCTCCTCAGAAACATTTGGGAGCAGACCCATCACACCTTTCATTCATCACACCTTTGCATTGCACCTTTTCCTTCAGGTGAGGATTTTCTAGTTCTCTTATTAAAGTATACATGTAAGATGGCAGGGGGGAAGCTTGATATAAACTAATGGATTTATTTTTGCCATCAAAAATGAAAACCCCAAATGCTTGCAAAATCCACCTACCCTGTCTACAACCGGAGTGTGAACTGTGCATTTCAGGTGTGTGTGCTTGTTTCCGTTCACGAGCAGGTCCTGCAACATGCAAAGTCAAGGACAAATTTGAACACCATGAAAATGCTCCCCCTTCCCAGTAGGCACCGGCCATGCCCAGCCCTGCTGCCGGGCAAGGGGAGTTTGCTCGGGGCGCAGTTGGTGCCCCACAGCGCAGCCAGGGAGGGTCACGCACCCCGAGAACCGCTCAGCTTTGCCAAGGACAACCCAAGGGACTCTCCCTATCTTACAGATAAAACTGAGGCACAGACATCGTCGTGGGTGACGATGTTTCAGAGCACCTTGGTAGGAATGATGTTTTCTGCTTTCCAGCCTCTTTAACGTCTAACCAACTTCCTTGCCTAGGCTCCTGCAGGGCCTGCTCCCGCAGGCGCCACAGCCCTTACCTCTGCGGCAGCTTTTGCAAGAAACCTAAGCAAACTTTCATTAGAGCTCATACAAGTCTTGCCACCTTCGCTACAGCCAGGACATGCCTGGACAGGCAGTGAGCCCAGGGCAGAGCCCGAGCGTCCCCGTATCCCACCTGGGAGCCAGCAGCACGGTGGCGGTGGGGCTCCGTGGCGAGAGCCGCGAGAAGCGGCTCCCGGGGAAAGGGACCTCTCCCCAGGTTTCCGTTCACCGGGGTAGACTCCCTCATTAGAAAATGAAGTTGCTCCCTAACTCGACAGCAGTAGCCGCTGCACGCTGCGCTGGAAAGTCCTGCCATTTTTATCTGTTTGCCTACAGGCGTCAAATACTCTCTGCCTGTCAATTCTTCTACAGTTTATTACCAAATTTCTAAAATATTACATTTTTTATTATATTCAAATTCACTTTATTGCATTTGACAATACAGATAATCACATACCATATGCTCTAATGTTTTGAAACCAATGCATGTTGACAGCAGTTTTTATTCATGATGCATAATTCTATCCACGGCTAACAAAAGGCGATGCAGCGCCAAGCTTGGTGCTAAGGTTTTGTTGTTGGGTTTTTTTTTTCCCTTTTCTTCATTTTAACAACAGATTTATAATAGTGGAAGGAAAGATGTTTTGCTTTCAGTTGAACAGGAAACGGGCTGAAAAGATGGGCTTATCAAAGAGCTGTCCTCAAAACATTAATAACTGCTGGGGGTTGGTTATTGTAATTACTTGCATCTGAGTCTTGCTGCTACGAGGCGTAAGGAAGCACAACAGCTCATCCCCGCACGAGGGCAGGGCTGGGCTGGCAGGGGGCACTGAGGCTGGTTCTCCACGCTCCTGCGCAGCTTCCGGTGGGGTTTTGGCCATGGTTGCTCATCTATAAAACTGAGACTAACTCCTACTCCTCCTCCTCCTCAGGGAGATGCTGTGAAGATAAATGTGCCTACATCTTTAAGGTCCTGCAAGCACAGTGAGCACAAGCTCCTAACTCAAATGATGACGGTGAGTAGCTCAGAGGTAGGGCAAGAAGAAGGAGCTCAGGTGTGAAAGACAAACCCTGCACCCAAGCTCAGAAACAGCCCGGGTTGAGCGCCAGGAGGCCAGCAGACCTCCTACGGTATTGCACCAGCTGCTGGCATGCTTTCTTGGTAACCTCTGTCAGGGTTTACCAGTTCCAATGAACTTCAGTGAAAATCTCTGCATCAGGCCTTTGGCCTTCATAAAGCGAGAGCTCTGCTGAAAAACAAACCAGTATTTATCACTTGTTTACCAGTGGTGACCATACTCCCTTCCCCAGATGACTTAGTCTCGTGATGCCCATCTGAATGCACCACCTCAAAACTCCCCAGGTGACGTGACTTGCGGTGGCAGCGATGACGGACCACCAGAGCAAGCTAGCCACCGCTCCAGCGAGCGGGGCCGCACGCACGCACGCGGCATTCGCCTCTGAGGCGAACACAGCGCTCTGTCACCAAACAGCGAACATGATTTACAGATTACCTGAAAGCTCAGGAGTCTCCCTTACATGTTGCTCCTAACTCTGCTTTCCTACCCGCTGCTGAAACCCGCCACGAGCAGCTGCCCACCCACCAAGCCCCGTCACCTCGGGAGGTGACGAGGAAGAGAGCACCCAATAACGTGGCCAAAGGAATCGGGGGCTCATAGCTCCGTGCAGAGCTACGGGCTAAGATTCCTTTTTCATATTTTAACCAGCAAAAATTCAAAATAAATTACACTCTTTGCATGTCCTCAAGCAGTTTCGCACCTTGCAGAATGAAAGGAAGAATGATATTTAAATCAACAGCAGTAAACGACATGACACCTCTCACTCTGAGAAGCACTTGTGGGAAGTATTTCAGCAAATGTGCAATATTCCTCCACTGCTAGCAGCTGATTAAAAAGACCTTTCAAGATTGTCTTTCATACGAAATACAAACCACCCCCAATGCCCGTACGAAGCCAAGAGAGGGCCTAGACTCTCCAGCAAAGTCAGCGCTCAGTTCCCGGCGTTAGCTGCAGCGCAGCACTAATGTCTCCAAACCATTCGCACTGGCTTCGGGGAGAAGGGTGCCAGGTACTCGGGTCTTACCACCACCTCACAAATCCCTAGGACAGCCCTAGGGACTGGGACCACCTCGGGCACTCTTGTAGGGGTGTCCACCCTTTGCTCCCTCCACAACAGAGCTGCAGTAGCACCTCGTGCTGGGGACCCATGGTGGGACGCCGGCATCTCTGACTCCCACGGGTCGCCCTCCCGCCAGCCCTCCTCTCCTCCCAGCCGCGCTCGCTCGAACGGCTCTCCTCCGACCTACCGCACCGCACTGCCCGACGCGCAGGAATGAGATCCGGCTCCAAAGCGGGTCCACAGATCACGCAGCAGGGAGAAGCAGGAGCCAGGTGCCTCCAGAGCAAGGCACGTACCCAGGACCCCCTTCTCTGCCGACACTTAGGGCTCTTCTCCAAGCTCCGATTTCTCCTCAAGTGCCGTCTGTATGGCTCTATTTTCCCAACACTATGTGGGATTAGGGACAGTGCCAGTATTGGCAGAAAGCAGCTCCGTGACTATCCTCCCTGCTCTGCCAAGTATTGATGCAGCTTTGAAAACGGCTACATCCTTTAATCCTTCCCTTCACTCCCTCAGCCCTCACCAAGGAGCCTGTACACAAATTACACAAAAACAGTTTAGCTGAGGCCCTCCTTAAATGGCTGGGATTGGTTCTGAAACGATAACCAGAGACAGTGACAGGGAGAGGGACGAGAAAGCGGGTTGCAATCAACATGAAAGCGGCACCTGGAGCCGCAGCTCCCTCCGCACTTCTGCCCTACGAGCGGTTTGCTCCCCCGGTCCAACGAGCCCTGCAGCAGCAGCGGCTGCGCCGGAGCAGGCTCTCTTTGAAACGCTGCTTCCTTACAAACCGTTATCAAACAGAGGCAAGCGGAGGCTTCCTTGGCACGGAGGTTTCCTGGATCAGTCGAGACTATGGCGAGCTCACCCATGCACTTCAGACAGCAGCGGCAGGTTTCTGAAGTGTTCGAGCCCTGAGCAACCTGGCCATTGATCCATTCACAAATGCCATTACAGTCACATCTGCGTGCAGGAGGCAACTGCTGCCCTCAGACTTGATATTTCATCACAGAAAAGCCTTCCATTTAGTTACTTCCTAACAGGGTCCATAAAGCAACCTCACTGCCAAGACACAAAGCAGTTGTGGGTGTGTTTGCATACATATATATATATACACCCCTCTCTATACAAGCATACATACATACATATTTATATATAAAAAACGAAGGCCGGTATTGCTATCCTTGCCTTGTCCCATTGGATTAAGAAGCTGCACAACACCCAGCACTGAATAACGCAGTAGGCAGTAGGCTCCTGTGCTGCTCAGCTGTTGGAAACGACATTGCAATATCCTCCCTGATTAACTCTTTTCAACGGAAAAACACCTCAAATCTCTTCAAGATACTGGGCAACACGAGCAGAGCTGAAATACAGCCTCATCCAGCAGAATGAGGAGAGGAAATGCTTGATCTAAAGAGGCATCAAGAGAAAAGCTCTTTCCAACTAAAAAGAAAGCCAGACAACAGTTATTTAGTACATTTATCTCGTATTTCTAGGCCAGCTGGGCCAAATCTCTGTTGAACATCACAAAAAGAAAGAAACAAAGAAAGTTAGCAGATGCCACCACTTTCTCTCTACAGGCTGCAGCAGATGCGTCCATGTTGCGTTGACATTGTACGTGTACAACTCGCCTGCTGGCGCTCTTTCTGGGCCAAGAGACAGCAAGTCCCAACCCAGAAGTTAAGCTAATATTCAGCACTGATGCTGCAATGCAGGCCGAGGGGCTGCTGCACGTGCAGAGGAACCCTCCACCAGATAGAGCCGCTGCCTGCCCCTGCAAGCCTTGGAGCAAGCTGCTGGGTTGGGCTCTGCTCTCGCAGCTCCCGAGTCCTGACATACACGTGTCAATACAGCACGCTGGTCCCTCAGATATTTAAAAGACTTTGCAAGCCACAGCTTTTCTGCAGCAACACATCAGCAGGGCACGTGCCAGAAGCATGCCATTCAAAGAAAGCTCTTAGCCGATGCTCAAACCCTGCCGATTTGAACAAGATGGGAAATTAAACACCGGTTGGGGCCTCGGTTCTTATCATGTCTCCCTTCTCTCCTTGACTCAGGGCTTGCGAAAAGCACAAGCCGCATGCACAGCTGAAGTGACAGGCTGGGAAAGCCACTCGTCCCTCTCCCTGCCGTGACCATCCGGACCTCCGCAGGCCATGGCCACCGAGCACCCACAGCGAAAACGCCTGCCCAGTCGCTGCGAGCTAAAGGCACGTCGAGACGCAGGAAACGCTCAATTCCTTATTAAACTGCTTGACAGCTGGGAGAGAAGAAAATCAAGCAAACCCCAACTCCCAACTCACAGTGTTCAGGCAACAGATTCAACAACGTGAAAGATGGCAACGTGGTGCAAACCAAACAGGATGCTATGTCTCAATTAAGCTGTAATGACCTGCTCGGAGGTCTTTATTAGTCAGGTAATGATCATTTAAGAGGAGGTTACTATCTTGAGCCAAGGGCACCTGATACTGTTACTGAACTTGTTAAAACCT